GATTATAGCCAGCAGTCCTGGATTGCAAACACAGGCATTCCTATTTCCAGGTAATTTTGTTCTTCCTGAGAGCATGGTTTGGGCCTGTTGTTTTCATGGTTTTTTCTCTTTGTCTGTTTTTTTGATATGTGATCTGAATTGTCTTTTCTCTGCTTGCTGTTAGGTTCCTGGAAGGTGACGTGAAAGATCATTTTGCAGCAGCAGTATTAACTTCTGGAACCATTGCCATTTGGGACTTACTCCTAGGTCATTGCACTGCTCTCCTTCCACCTGTCTCTGACCAGAACTGGTCTTTTGTTAAATGGTCAGGTGCAGATTCTCATTTGCTGGCTGGACAGAAAGATGGAAATATATTTGTATACCGCTACTACTGAGTTAGGGTAAGGTTGAAACACCGTGTTCTGGATATTTTCGGCCTCTTATTACTTTTTGGAGTTGTTACTATAAAGGAGACTATTTGAAAGTCATTTAAAATAATTACCTGTATTCATTCAGACAGACTTTTTACTCTGTTGGTAGGGGCCCTACTAATCTTGAATGTTCATTTATACTTATTTGGGAGAAACGGATTTTAGGTTGACTTTTGTAATTCCTCACATTTGCACATTTGCTTTTAAAGGTGTATCTACATAAAGCTTCAAATGTTAATAAATATTTATTTTGATACATCCTGTTTGGCATATTTTTTCCTATCCTATAAAGATCAGTTTTAGAAATAAGAACTAATTATTTTACAACTAGAATATTTTAGTCAATGATGCTTGCATAGTAAAAGTAAATTTCAGTTAACTCAGTATACTAATACGCAATTAATTACCTTTTATGCTACTTACAATACTTTATTTTCACTTATCTGCCTATTGAAACGCTAATTTAGAAATGCTGTTGTGCTTTTTCATTCTCACGTGCACCCTTGATACCAGTGCCTGCATTTTCACAAGTCACTTAGAGTCAACAACACAGCTTTACTGAGCACATCATCTTCACCTTTGCCTAAGTGGTTTGAGAGACGGCAATTTTTAAAGTCCTAATCTGGTGGTATCATTGGAAACTTCATCCCAATCTATAAATATTTATTTGCCTAGCTTTCTTGAGTATATTAAGAGTATGTATTCATGATCTATGTAAGGTAACTATTTGCACCATTACTTCTCTTTTAAAGATACCTTTTTATGCTATTACTGTAGTGGGTTTCGCTAACTTCATTACTACCTTTTAATACATTTGAATAAAAGATTTAATTTTCTCTCCTATACTGATTCTTTTCTCACTGTCTCTAACCTCAAATGAATTAATACTTTGCAAGCACATCATAGGTAATAGATGGATTTTCACAAAGATTTAATTTACTCAGGAACCCTGGGAAACATGTTATCTTGATTTTAAGAGGTAAGAAAACTGAGTAGATCTAAGTAACAGTAGAACAAACACTGAGTACGTACTTGACATAGTAGGTGTGAAAATGATTGCCGTGAGGCCCCTACCCCTCAGAAGTGCACAGGTTAGTGATTTAATTTAAATACTGTGTTTTAAATTGAAAGGGTGTGTTCAGAGTTCGGCTGTGGAAGCTCAAATGGGCAAGCACAACACGGGGTTCAAGAAAAGCTTCATGAAGAATGACAACTTAGCTGAGTCTTGCAAGGTGAGGAGGTCAGAGCAGAAGCGAAGGATATTCCAGGCAGCAAGGACAGTATGGTGTGAACTACAAACAACTCAGCGTTACCAGATGATTATGCGATGGGGAATGGACTCAGGAAGCTAGAAAGGTAGCCAGGGAGCTTGTGAGGCATGTTAACAAACCTGGACTTTATGCTGCAGGTGAAGGGGCTGTTGAAGGGTTTGAGGAGTGAGGCGATAAGGTCCCACTGTAGCCACAGTGAATAATGGATTTATGGAGGCCAAGAGTAGAGGCAGGGAGACGCCCAGAAGGGCCTGACCTGTGGCAGGGGCAGTGGGAATGAAATAGCTGAATCAGAGAGAGATTTAGGGGGGAAGAGAAGCAGGAGGACTAAGTGAATGCATGATTAGGCAGCAGGTGAAGGAGTCTTCAGTTTCTGTCTTACTGGGGTGATGGTGTCAGCAATTGAAATAAGGAACACACAAGGGGGAAAGAACTGATCTGAGTGCTTATAGATCATCTGGCAATAGGAAATTGGATCTAGGACTGTGAAGCTCAGAGAAGAGGCCAGGTTGGATGCAGGTAGCAATTAAAACCTCTGGAGTGAATCAATTCTGAAAACTTGTATGTTTAAAGTCAAGAATGGGTCAAGGACAGACCCCCAGAATCAATGTTTAAATGATGAACGGAGGAAATAAAGCCATGAAGAAGGCAGGAAAGGAATGGCCAGAGAAGTTGTGTCTATTGGACTTAAATTAAGATGCAGTGGTGAGGTTTATGAAAAGTTTTAGTGCTGGGGGTGGGAGGTCAAGTAAATCTAGATTTCAGTGGATTAAAGGGTGAATAGGACAAATTACTTACAAAACAGAAATAGAGTCATAGATGTAGAAAACAAACTTACGGTTACCAAGGGGGAAAGGAGGCGGGGAGGGATAAATTGGGAGATTAGGATTGACCTATATACACTGCTATATACTAAATAGATAACTAATGGGGACCTACTGTATAGCACAGGGAACTCTACTCAATGCCTAGTAATGACCTATTTGGGAAAAGAATCTAAACTGATTCACTTTACTGTACAGCAGAAACTAATACAACATTGTAAACCAACTATACTCCAATAAAAATTAATTTAAAAAAAGTGAATAGGAAGTGGGGTATTAAAGACCGAAAGAGCAGATTATTCCTTCAAGAAGGTTGACTATGAAAGGAAGGAGGAATGGTGATATTAAAGATACATCAAAGGCTACTGGAGGAGGTCTCTGGCCTTGTTTTTAGGCTAGGAGAAACTTTGGCATGTTTATGGGCTCAAGGGAAAGAGCCAGAAGCAAAGGAGAGGTTGAAGATGTAGGGTAGAAGAGAGGACTGGTGGTACAAGGTCTCAGGGGGAACAGGAAGGGATGTGACAGTAGTGCAAATGCGCTGGGAGGAGGGAGGGATGACTGGTGGAGGGATGACTGGTGGGCTGGTGGGGTGATGTGTGCAAGAAGCTGACATAGTTTATGCTTACACATCCTTTGATGGGAGTGCTACTGAAAAGCACCAGCGCTCTCCCGTAAATCTTCCCCAGCTGCTAAGGACTTGATCTCAATCTTAATAATGAACCTTTTCCCCTACAGCCCATCTAGGTTGACATTTTCTCTTTATGTGTTTGCTGAAGGGAAAAGTAGCTCTCCCAAAATATGTCATTTTAAAAGAGGTGATTTATTATGTTTGACCAAAAGAATTAAATGTTATCCAGAAATACAGAGAGGTTATGGGAAGAGAGGGTTCCAAACATGAACTTGGTAGGCTATCAAGCTCTTCCTGAGTGCTCCTTCTGCGACCATCATAGATCTGGCCCGTGGGTCTGCCAGAGCATGGCCAGGAAGGTGTAGTCAGAGGCTGTTGTGTCACTGGTGACTTAAGCAGATCTTATCGGCCCTAATCCTTGGACTCCAGTCAGATTTTTGGCACCAGTTTTCTGCAGAAATGGAAGGCTGCTACTTGAGGTGAAGCTTGGCCATTTATTCACTGACCATTCCAAAGAGGTGATACAATTGCTCTTCCAATTGCTTAATAAGCAGTGAAGTGGTGGTGATTAAATCAGCCTGCAGCAGAAGCCTGCGGTGGACTGCTAGCACGGCCATAGAGACTCTGGTTGGCATCACCAACAGCAGGGTGATTCCGGGGGGTTTCTTTTCCATCCCCCTGATTGATGAAAGTCTTGGCTCAAGTATCACCTCCAAAGAGAGGCCTTCAGAGACCACCCTGGCTAAAATGACATGCCTCCCATAGCTCTCATTATCCCCTTCCCTGTTTTATTGTCCATTATTGTACTTATCATTACTTCCTGGAGGGTTTTTTTTTTCCGTGGGGGGGTAGGGGGTTGTATTTTTTTTGTTTGTTTATTGTACATTTTCCCACTAGAATGTAAAATCTGAAAATAGACTGCCCAGTCTGGCTTGCTCACTGCTGTAGCCTCAACAACTAGCACATAACAGATTCTGGATATTTTAATGAATACATAAATAGAAATTACAACAGTAGGATCATAGTAGGCATTCTATTTTAAATTAAAGGCACTACCTTTTATTTTACTTGAATTTAACAAAAGTAAAAAGAAACTGAAGTAAAACTGAAGGCATTGTTGAATTGTTCATCCAGGCAGTATTCAGAGTTTGAAGCCATTGTTCTATATGTTTGGATTTCACTGCCGAGAAATATGAATGAATTAGCACGCTTAAACTTTCTCCCACTTACCCATTTTTGTGAGCTATATTATTTATATTGTCAAGTTTTAAAATATGTATATTGCTTTTATTGTAATTCCCACATTTATTAGTCTTAGTTATATATTTACATCAACTCATATTTTCGCATTCTTATTTTATACTTTTGACCTATTAAATAATTTAAAAAATAATTTTAATAGTTTTGACCTATTAAATAAATTTAATTATTTAATAATTTTAATTTAAATTAATTTTAATTCTATGGAAGAATCGCGGCATCAAAACTTTTCTTTCTTTTGGCCGTGTCCCGCGGCTTATGGGATTTAATTTACCGACCAGGGATCGAACCCGGGCCCTCGGCAGTGAGAGCGCGGAGCCCTAAGCACTGGACCGCCAGGGAATTCCCGGCATCAAAACTTTTAAATAAATGTATTTCAGAACTTTCAGAGAATAAACAAAAATAAGTTCCTTTCTTGCGTCAGTGATTATAGTGTTTAGGGAAAGAACATCTTCGCCCTTTTAGCTCTGGCTCTAGCAGCCATTCGCCTCCGGACCTGGAGGGCAGGACAGCGCGCGCCCTGAGGGCGCAGTGCAGCCAGGAGGCGCCAGGGGCCGCTACCGCGGGCGGCTCGCGACAGTGCCTCTCTATGCGTCGCCTGTGCGGAGCTCAGGAGGATACCGGACCGGAGGGCGCGGCGCAGTGCCTGCTGGGTCGGCGTAGCCATGGCGGCTCGTGTCCTTTGCGTCTGTGTCCGCCGACTGCCCGCCGCCTTCGCGCCGCTGCCCCGGCTCCCCACGCTGGCGGCGGCCCGGTCACTCTGCACTACCCTGTTCCCCGCGGGGGCCAGAGCGAGGCCTTGGGCTCCGCATCCGGCCTCGGTGCTCACGCAGGTGATTCGCGGTGACTTTGGGGGGGCTTGGCTGGGGTCAGGCGTCGGGCCCGCTCGGGGTGGTGGGGACGGGCCAGGCAGCTGGGCCGCAGCTACTGGGGCTGCTGTTGGCGGGGGTGACCCGGGGACGCCTGCTCGCTCTCCGTCCCACTGCCTAAAGGTGCTTGGTTGATCCCTGCCGGGACCCGGGTGACCTAGCGATTACGGGCAACAGCACAGACCTTCCAGTCAAACACCCTTGGGTTCGAAAGCTGACCCCGGAACTTTGGAAAAGCCTTGTAACCTCGCTAAGCCTCAGTCTGAACCGTAAAAATGGGATACTAGTTTCTACCTTGTGGAGTTTCAGCGAGGTTTAGAGGAGATCATACAGGTAAAGTACCGAGGGCGGTGCTTGGTAAGCTCTCACAATACTGGTTGCCGTTAATTGTAGTGATAAGGATAAATACCGTGATAGCTTCCTAGGAAAAAATAATGACGGGGTGCAGAGAGGAAGACACCCTGGCCTACAGCCTTCTTCACAGCAGTTCTCTCCCTGGATTGCTCCCTGTGGCACCTTTTGTCTGTTTCTGGGTCTCTTGGAAGGATAGGAAACAAGTAGGATCTAGTTGTTTTTTTTATCTGATGAAACTTTTTTGAGACTGAAACTCTCCTTAGGTCAGTGATTCTCAACCCTGGCTGCACATTCAAGTCACCTGGGTAGCATGAAAGAGAAAGAAAAATAAATCCCTCGTGGGCTCTCCCCCTCCCCATCTGATTTACTCCTCTGGGATGAGGCACTGACATGTTGTTTGTTTAAGTTCCCCAGGTGATTCTGAAGCGCCTCAAGATTAAGAACTGTCGTCTTAAAGTAGGATAGACTCCCAAGGTTTAGTTGAGAATTCCCTTTTCAAATTCCAGGACTTCATGTAATTGTGGTTTCAATCTTGACTAAGATATGAGAATAAAAACTAAGGATGCCCTGGCCAAATCAGTTAGAATCTCTAGAGGTGGGGCTTGGTCATCGCTTTTTGAAAGTTGCCAGTGATTCTTTTATGCAGCCAGTGTCAAGATTTACTGACAGTGTAGTGGATTCATTCAGGGGGCATTGTCTTATCGATGAATCAAAAGGTTAAAAGTGTCACCTTGAAGTTGAGTTAAAAGAGCAGTGTGGGGCTTCCCTGGTGGCGCAGTGGTTGAGAGTCCGCCTGCCGATGCAGGAGACACGGGTTCGTGCCCCGGTCCGGGAGGATCCCACGTGCCGCGGAGCAGCTGGGCCCGTGAGCCATGGCTGCTGAGCCTGCGCGTCCGGAGCCTGTGCTCAGCAGCGGGAGAGAGATTTGAGATACTACTCCATCATGGCAAAGATCAGAATGGCTCATTATTTAGTTGGTGGCAACAAGGCAAGCCCAATTGGAAGGAAAATAGATTGGAGTGTATGCCTGTCAGGCTCCATCATCCTCTTCTTTGGGTTGGTACTGGCTTCATTTGTCTTGGCCAAAGTCAGTGTAATTACTGCTGGGACCAAATTAGATCCTTCCAGTGTATGGTTTTCAGTGTGAGCTGCCTTTCAGTTCACCCTGACAGCTCTTGGCGTGAGTTATTTTGACTTGGGTATTAAAGGTGGCAGTGCCTTACAGAGGCAGTGCACTGCTTAAGATGCCATGGGAAGCCTTAGGCTCTTCTGCAGGCCCTAGATGGTTTTAGTGGCAGTGTTACTGAGCGGAACCAATGTCCAAAGCCTGACGGCTGAACAGAGGAAAGAAGGGGGCCGGTCCTGGCTCTGAGGGGAAAGGAGATCCATTTTTATGCTCTTGAACTGCTAGGGCTTCTGACACTACCCAGCATGAGGCCTCGGTGTGTCCTAATGGCCACAGAATCAGATGAGATGGGTTTGCTAACCCCATGAAAGCTTTGTGAAAGACATCTGTAGGCCAATGCCTTTACTTAGAGGCATTTCAGGCTCAACAGCAGTGCTTCCCTCCCTCGGTCTAGGTTCCAGGTGGAGTTACACCGCTGTGCCGCCAGTATAGTGATGCACCCCCTTTGACATTAGAGGGCATCAAGGACCGTGTTCTTTACGTCTTGAAACTCTATGACAAGATTGACCCAGAAAAGGTAATTGATGTGGTTTAAATGTTTTTTCTTTAAATGAGTATTTAGTCACATGGTGCAAAATCCAAAGGGTTTAAAGGACATTAAGTAAAAAGTCACCCCAGGCACCCAGTTCTCCTTCTGGGAGGTGCCAGTTGACCTGACTTCTTATTTTTCCAGAGAGTCTCAGTGCATATGGAAGGGCATATATATATACACATACATACAAGTACATGTATGTATATTATATGTACGAAGTGATCTATATCTCCCAACCTTTTAAAAAAACACAACCCGTAGTACACTGTAAATACTGTTGTGCACCTTGCTTTTTTAACTTAGCTCTTCTTGGAGTTTTTCTCACAGTGCTACCTTAAAACATTCCTTCTTTAATAACAGAATCTGTGGTGTGGGTAGGGTAGTTTGTTTTTGATGTGGTTTTTGAAGAATTCTTCCTGGTGATCTTGAGGTCTAAATTAAAGACAGGGTGATAATAGACACTGTGTGCTATTCTTGAGGGAGCAGAATGTCACTTCTAAGGTGTGGTGTCTTAGTGGTAAGGCAGCAAGAAAAACCAGACTCTCAGATGTCATTCAGAACAGTGATCAGAGATCATCATAAAATATATAAAGTGAATTCATCATTAGCTTTATATATATTGCTAACCATTTCAAAATAAGGTAGAGTAAGTTAACATATAAAGCACGCCAAGTGTGGGTTGGCACACGTTAAATGTATAATGTTAGTTGTGGCTCTTTATGTTTAAAATATGGCCTCTTTATATTAAAAAATCTTCTGTATAATGACTGATATTTCACCATTCAGTTATCTTGAGAAACAAACGCTCTCACAGACTGAATTTTGCGTTTGGTGTTTCTTTTCTTGCAGCTCTCAGTAAATTCCCATTTTATGAAAGACCTGGGCTTAGACAGTTTGGACCAAGTGGAGATTATCATGGCCATGGAAGACGAATTTGGTAACACACACGGGCTGTCTTGGACCTGCCCGTCGTGGCTCTTGATTTCGGTGGATTAAATGCAGAGGAATGCTGGGAGCCTGATTGGGGTTTGCAACAGTCGTGCCCACCCCTCCCCCACTCCTGCTTACTGTCGGGGGAAGTGATTATTAGGGACAGTGCACTTACTTGGAGAGCACTTATTGCAGGTCTGCAGAGTGCCCGGTGTAATACCAAGGGCTGAGCGACCGGAAGAGGCCTGGGGGAGTGTGGCACGGAGATTCTTGAGGTGGGTCTCCAAGATGAGGGCATAGCCTCACCTGTGGAGAAGCTGATGACACCTCGGTGCACCGTCTCCCTCCTCCCCACCTCCCCGATGAGCTAGGCCTAAATGTCTAGAGAAGTGCTGGGTGTGCCAAGGATAGGGCGTGTGCGTGCACAGACTCATACACACACACATGCTTTGGTTTCCTGCAGTGCCTCCCGTGCACACTCCAACTTAATCTTGTCTGGGACGGTCAGTTGTGCAAATGAGACCTTTACAAGGTTCCACGGCCCATTTTGGGGGTGAATTGCCTGAGTGGAAGCCAAGGGACTTCTGTGCCTTCCTACAGAGCAGAACTTACAGTTCCTCAGAGAGTATGCTAACTAGAGGGATGGCATTGGTTAGGGCTACAGGGTTTCTTTTGGGGGTAATGAAAATGTTCTAGAATTAGATGATGGTGATGGTGCACAACCTTGTGTATATACTAAAAACCATTGAATTTTGCACTTTAAATGGGGGAATTTTCTAATATGTGAATTATATCTAAAATGTTGCCTGGAAACATAACAGGCTCACAACTTAAATGGGATTCAGGGTTGCTGGAATTTTTTGATGTACTTCTGGGTATTGCTGAAGTGTTACATACTTTCAGTTCTAAAGGACTGGCATTTCCTACACTAACGCATTGTTGCACATTTTACTTTCAGGGTTTGAAATTCCAGATATAGATGCGGAGAAGTTAATGTGCCCACAAGAAATTGTAGATTACATTGCAGATAAGAAGGATGTATATGAATAAAATATCAGGTAAATAATTTGATTTATGGAATTATGTTCTGCCATAGAATTAATCCCTCTGTGGTTCTTCAATAAAGACAGACTTGGGAAGAAATGGAAAAAATGGAAGTGCTTGACAGATTTTCACTGGTTATAAAATGCAGGCACCTTCTGGTTATCTGCCACTCCAAGGAGGCCAGCCCTAGTGATCATCTTTCTCCTCCAGAGCTGTTGACAGCAGTTCACTCCTGGACAGGACTCTCTTACTGATTGTCAGCCCTCCTCGTAAAAGCAGCCTCATACAAAAAACTGAGCAAGGCGACCCAGAAGCAGAGACCTCTGCCTCCCTCAGTTACCCACCCAAGGGTAACTGTCCAGGAAGCTGAGATGGCCTGGCTCTTAATTAGGCAGGAGAGGCCTTGTGGGTAAGAGGATGGACTCTAGCGTCAGACACCCGAGTTTATTCTCAGCTCTGCAACATTCTGTAAGCCTGTGGTCTTGGGCAGGCTGCGTAGCCTTTGTAAGCCTCAGTTTCCTCATATGTAAAATGGGGCTAATGATAGGACCTACCTGGGGCTTCAGTGAAGGTAAAATTGAATAGTGTGTGTAAATCACTTAATACAATGCTTGATGTAAAGAAGCCTCATGATAAATATTGGCTATTGTTCTTTAGGCCGTAGAATAATCAAGTGATCAGACTTTTAAAATAAAACATTTTATTAGAGTCTATAACTTTAGTCATCCTGGATTTAGCACCTCAGAGATTATCACTTAAAGTCAGTAGCACCAGAGAGAAACACTGAACTTGTCTTTTGCCAGACCCCTTTTCTTCACTGAAAGAAGACTCAGAAGATGCTGGCGAGTGTCTGGAAGTAAGAACGCATCTCTGCATCATTGCTGACTTTGACAGAGTAATTCTGTTTAGACTTGTACTTAAATTGTCTTAAGTGTTTTTGCCTGTTGAAAATAAATCTATAAAACCAACATTTTTCTGTCTTCAGTTTTTAAATTACGTCTCTAAAGTGCTTGCTTTATATTGACATTGCTTGGCATTTTTAGAGACTTGTCTGATTTATCATTGGTATTCATGCATATCAAAAATAAGACTTTTCCAGCAGGGTACTTGAAACAAGTTGCTCTCCCATCACCTTCAGCATGAGGAATGAATTAGTGATAAAAAACATTTTGCCTCAAATATATTTGTGCCTCCATTAGTTTACTGATTATTCCATATATCAGCTGACACCAGCGTGTGGGACTAATTTTTCATCCCTGTCCTAAGGATCCATTTCTGAATTAATGGAATTTAGTAATTTTGGAGGATAAAGGGTTCTCTTTCCTCCTAGAAGACTACTTTGACATTGTGTCTGTTTGTCATATATCAGTAAGTATTAACTTGTGCTCCTTTTATTCCTAGCACTGCGTTAGGTCTTTGGAATTAATGTAGGCAGTTGCCTAGCTCTTGATGAGATTTAACTTGAGAGACCTATCATAAAATACTTCTCTACTTTTCCCGAAACTTCTAGTTTGTAGGAGGGAGGAGACCAAGGTCTTGTAGTTAAGTGGGAAGTAGCGTTACAGAGGTGGAGGGACTGGCTGAGTGACCCTCAGCCGGCAGAGAAGCTTCATGGCTGAGGGATGACATGGCAAGATTCCGTAGTCCAGTCTGGGGTTCAGGCCACACTCCCACCTGCTTCTCCTTCCTTTAGGTACCCAATGTTGCCCGTTCCTTCTGTGTCACTCTAGAATTACTATAGACAAGGTCAGGCAGCTGTATTTCCGGCCTTTTTCAGTAATAGGAAGCATTCATTGTTATACTGCATTTTTTTTTAATATTGATACTTAACAAGGTATTCTTGGAAAACTGCCAAATTGGAGCGTAAGGCACTGCCTCGTTCTTTTTCACAACTGCATTTATTCAACAAATAGTTTGAGTGCTTATTAGGGCACTAGAGGTCCAACAGGCAACAAAACAGGCTGCACAAGACTCCTTTGCTGGGAATGTACCATAATTTAACATCCGGGGTAAATGTCCTTCTCGCTATTTTATTAACCTCCATGGCAGCTGCACATTTTACCAAAAATTGCATCTGTGTTTATTGCTGCCTAAGATCATGAAGTCTAGCAGTACTGCCACCAAAGTGACTGCTTGCTAACCTCTTAACCATACACCTGCAGTGAAACAGCCCATTCACATCATTCTATAGCTGTTCTAAGTCCCGAAGGAGCCAGAATGAGGAAAAAAAGCTCACTGAATCACACACATCACTCACTGATGATGCTATTAAAGATCTGGGTGTTCAAACAACAGCAGAGGCCTTTCTGGTCTAAAAACTTGCTGCAAAGTTCTTTGAGAGACCTGTGTGCCACTATACATAGGCAGCAAACTGGCCAAAGGTAGCATTCCAAAGTGCGTGAATTAGAATAAATGGGATTGTGTGCATAGTTTTTAATCGTCGAGGATCAGTGTGTCTGCTGTAGGCAAGGCCCTTCGAGAGAGGATGGCTGGGAGGCCCGTCATGACCTGTGTGTGGCCCCGTCGCTCTTCTGTGTCTCCCAAACAGCCAGTGCACTCATGTACCCAGTGAAACAACGATGTGCTCACCATGTGCGGCACACTCCCCGGGGCAGGGCCTCGGTACACAAGGGTAAAGATTGTCTCTGCTCTCAGGTAGCTCACCATCTAATAAGGGACACAGTTAAAATCCACATGATGCTTCGCATTCAGCATCACCAATACCTGACGTGATGAACTGAGGACATGTCACCTCTGGTGCTGATAAAACTGACTGTGAGGAAACAAATCCAGAAGGTGGGACTTTAAAAAAAACCCAATGATATGGGACAAAAAGGACAGGGTAACTAAATTAAAGGAGACCAAAGACATCAACTTCATGGGAAATGTGAAGCTTGAAAGGTTTGGGGAAAAAAAACTTAAAGACATTTTGAGGACAACTGAACTCTACATAGGTGATAAAACAAGTGTTAAATTTCTTAGATATAATCAGTATTATGTAGTAAACTAACCTTATTCTCAGGAGATGCATACTTAATACATCTTGAAGCATCAAGATGTCTGCAGCTGACTTTCAAATGGTTCAGGAAAAAAAACAGTAGCAAAACTGTTAACAAATGGTGACTAGCTGACAGGTATATGCATGTATATGGGCGTTCACTGTACTGCTGTCAACTATCCTGTTTGAAATTTGTCAAAATAAAGAGAAAATTCAACATGATACATACATGTAACAAAAAGTATACTGATGGCATACAACTGGATATCCAACGATATGGGATTGGTTAAATAGAAATAATTTTACACAATGAAAGACTGGTGTTTTAAGTGAAAAGAGACTATAAACAGCATGATTCCATTTCCATAAAACACATACCAAAATGTTAAAGATTACCACCACGTGGGAGAAATAACATTGGCTTATTTTCACTGATCAGTATTTTCTAAATTATAAATACCATGTTTTGTGTAATAAACGAAAAACAGAAGTATTAAAAATCTGTGAAAACTGAGAGCAGTTCAGCAGAAGCTGAGGAGTGAGGCTTGGGAGAGGCGTTCCCGGGCAGTGAAGCCTGAGCAGAGTTTCTAAGGCTCTGCCAGGGTCAGCCCCGTGGCAAGGGCAGGAGACATGGAAGCGCCCCGTGTGCACAGATGTCATTTGTTCAGGTAGGGATATGGCTGGAGCGTGAACTCATGGGTGGGGTGACCTGTGATTCAAGCTGTGGCCGGGATCAGGTCACGAAGGAGGGCCCTACTGTCTGGTAAGGAACTTGTTGGCAGTGGGTGCAGGATTTTCTGCAGGGAAGACACAGTCAGCTATACTTGAGCTCAGCGGTTGGCGGCAGAGGGTGGACTGAAGGGGATGAGTCTGCTGGTTACTAGAAGAACCCAAGAGAAAGACGCAGATTTGGAGGATGGGATAAAGAGAGATGGACTGCAAAAATATTTGGGATAAAAATAGCAGTACTTGGTCAGATGACGGAGGAAGCTAAGTCTAGGGTATCTCTCAAGCTTATGGCTTGGGCTACTGGTGCTGGGTGAGTTGCTGTCTGAAACAGGGAATAGAGGAGGGTCAGATTGAAGAGGGAGACAGGGACTTCCCTGGCGGTCCAGCGGTTAAGACTCCATGCTTTCACTGCAGGGGAGTGGGTTCAATTCCCTGGTCGGGGAACGAAGATCCTGCATGCCACGTGGCACAGCCAAAAAGTTGAAAAAAAAAAAAAAAAAGGGGGGCGAAGAGGGATATAATTTCAGTTTGGGACGATGGATTTATTTGTGGGATACCCAAGCAGATGACAGGTAATGAGCCAGATCTCAAGAAAAACTCCGGGCTGGAGTCAGAGTGTTTGTGAGATGCTTTGCCTGGGCCTGTTCCCTCGTACTGCGAAGTTACCACTGCGGATGCCCTCTCCCTCTGATAAGGGATTTACGTGGGAATGACTGACCCTCCACTCGTGAGATGGCCTCTTAGTGCTTAAGCCTAAAGTGAATTCTACTTCCTTCAGAAGAGCCGGGGTGGAGAAACTAGGAGAACTGTGTGAGACTCACCCCTTGAAATTTCTCTATCAAGTACATGTATTACTTACTGTCTTAGTTTTTTAAACGGTAGCCAAGCAATAAATGTCAAGGGTTGAAGTTTAAAAAACAAGTCATAAACACAAGTTAGTGCCCTTAAGACGTTAAACTGGGGAGAAAAAAGAAGAAAAAGTATGAAAGCAAAACAAGAAGCAGCCAAGTTCTTTCCTAAGTTCTCAATACCACGAGCATCTGCGCAGACTCTGGCGTCAGGCAAACCTGGGTTCTGAATCACAGCCCTGGTCACTGACAAGCATATGACCTTGGCTAAGTCACTTCTCTAAGCCTAAGTTTCCTCCGATGGGTAAAGTGGGGCTGACAAGAGGGACACGGTGGAGTGGTGACAACGTAACGCGTGTGCGTAATCTGACCCACTCCCTGCCAATGGACAGACTCAGTGAAGGAGCTGACGTTACGGGACTTGCAGGCAGAGTATTTAAGAGCAAGTCCCCCGTGGAGAGAGGGTCCAGAAGAGGAACCCACTCTTCACCAAGGCTGGAGCCCTAAAGAAGGTCCTCTCCAAGTGATTTACCTGGCACATAGCAAGAGGTCCAATCCCTGCTGGGTGGTCTGCCACAGCTGCTGTTTTCTACAGTCCGCAATATTCACCCGAAAGCCCCAGACTCACAATGAATGGAAGTCAACTAACACGTCTCGGACACTAAGGTTATTATGTTTGTGTGTTTGTGGAGGGCAGAGTAACAAGCCAATAAGAGCCCTGTGTGGTATTTCTACTCTGGAATTCTTGCGGAAGAAAACAATTCTCTTTCCCCTGGGGCTGCAAGTCTGGTAGAACCTAAGTCAGGAGAGAACAAAGCAGAGCCAGGAGGTGGAGGGTCAGGCGCCTGATGAGACTGAAGCACCTGCATAGGCCTGGGTCTGACACTCCGGGTTTTCTGGTTACATGAGCCAAACCCTCTTGCGTAATTCATGTGAATTGGGTTTGTCACCAATAACCAAGAGTCCTCAGTCACGGACCCCTGGAGTCCTTAAATCTCAGACTTAGATGTGGGAGGGAAGCCAGAGTGATCAGAAGACAAGGGGACTCTACCCAGCGGGGGCACGAGTTCCCTGACAACCTCCTCCTGAACCCCAGCTCTAGAAGCTGCAGTAACATACAGTACAAGACTCATGACGGGAAGCGAAAGAGAGTAGGGGTCACTGTGAAATTAAGATTAAAAACATATGGGAGGAGATTACTTTAAAGTGAGAGAAAAAAGCCATTTAAAAAAAAATATAAGACTTGGGAGAAGGACTCAAAAACATAAGGATTATTGATTGGAAAGAACAGTTCTAGAAGATATATTAGGTGATATTACTAATATCATATCATCTGTATATTAGATGATATTGCTGAATTGATGTTAGTTTTCTTAGGTGAGGTAACCGTGTCAT